AGGATTCAAGTAGCTGCTACATGTGAATAAAGCACAATGATAGCAGTTGTCTCCGGGGCATACAGTGAGTGTTCAATAGACGCTACCTTTCATTATATATTTTATCTAGTTATAATGGAAAAATGGAAGAACTAGAAGAGTCCAGAAAGCTATCAAGCTGTTGTCTTGCAGGTGAGAAAACAGGTTCAGGGAGTATAAAAGACCCACCCTCGGTCACAGAAAGCTGATGATAATCAGCCGGGACCTGCTTCCTTCCAGCTCGGTCCAGCGATCCCATCATGCTGCCCCCAGTGGTGCTGACGGTTACAGCAGAGGAAGCCCCTGGACCCACGGAGCACAGGAACTGCTCCTTTCGCCGCCAGGACCTAGTGTGGCTCTGGCTGTCATGGCCACGTGACCTGCCAGGTCCTCTCCCAAGGTTCTGGGGGGAAGAATGAGCAGACATCCTGGGAGCTAGCCAAGTGTTCCCCCAGAAAGAAAAGGCCTGTTTGCTTCCTTGGAGACCTTGAATTTTTATTTTGTTGTAAAAGATCTTAAAAATTTAGAGCAACACAAAGAGAGAGAAGATAAAACTCACTGCTAGTGAGTGAAAAAATGGGGATATTTCTTGCTAGTGTTTTTATTTTTCCTACGGCTTTTTTTCCCCTGTAGTAGAGATCGAATTTCATTTATTTATATCCTTTTAACATCCCTTCTGGGTGAGGCACTGTGCCAGGTGCCAGGGATACAGGAGTGAACAAAATAGAAATACTCCCTGTCCCCATGACCCTGAGAATCCAGTGGGACTGATGGGAATCAACAGCTCATTTCCAAAACCACTGTGATTGGATGTGGCTGGGGCCACAGGGGAAATAGGTCCCAGGGTTCAAGGAGAGGACAGAATAGGGGACCAACCTCAGGTTCCCCCTGGGTCCTGGAAGATCCTCAGAAGCGTGAAACCAGGCTGGGCAGGGGCAGCAGAGGCTGGAGGGGAGAGTGGAGCCGTATTTATAACTTTCGCCACATCATTAAAAATACTTTGTGAATGTTTTTTGCATCTATTTTTAGTGTTGATTTTCCTAACCGATCTCACAATTTTGCTGTATCCAGCTCAGGGGGATTTCTAATGTTCTTACTATTAGAAAATTAGAAACAACATTGGGGAAGACTGTCTCCCACGCAGCGGCTCTAAGTCCTGGCTGCATGCAGGGTCTCAGGGGTCATCTCATTTCATATTCATGATGAGTGGCAACAGTGGGGAGCAGAGGGTCCTACTGTTCCAGTTCCATAGAGCAAGTGCCTGAGGCTAGGAAAAGTTAAATGATCTGCCTGAGTCACCCAGTTAGAAGGCTTCCCAGCTGGAGAAAGAAATCTAGAACTTTCTTTTTTTTTTTTTTTAAGATTTAATTTATTAAAAAAAAAAGATTTAATTTATTTATTCATGAGACACACACACACACACACACACACACACACACACACACACAGTGAGAAGCAGGCTCCATGCAGGGAGCCCGATGGGGAACTCGATCCGGAAGGCAGACGCTCCACCACTGACCCATCCAGGCGTCCCGAAATCTAGAACTTTCTGGTTCTGGATTATCTCTGTGTAGTAGTCCAGATTATTTCATGACAGGTTCCCAGAAGTGAAAATACTGGATCAGAAGGGCTTTGTTTGTTGTTGTTGCTGTTCTTAAGGTTGTTGACATATGAGCTCACAACACTTCACACTGATATTAAAAAAAAAAAAAACCCACAATATGCTTTGTGGCAGGTGTTGCATGCCGCACACCGCATGCTGGTCCTCTCTGTGGGGCTCACCCAGTCCACCCTGCTTTGCCCCCAACCCCAACCCTGCAGCATGTCTCACCCATCAGCCACTCAGCAATCACTATGTACCTATGCTCTCCTTGACACATCGGTTGGAGCCTGGGGCAGCAGATGTTTCCCTCACGCCTGTATGGGTGCCCAGGGCAATGTTCTGGTGAGCTCCTGAAGGGACCGACAGCTTCCCTGCCTGGCTTGCTCTGATATTGGGCTGGCCAGCGAGGCCCTCAGCCTCTCCTTCAGTGGATATGTCTCCTCCCTTTCCATGTCCCCCAGTTCTTCAGCCTCCGGGAATCCCATGGGTCTGGGTGACACAAGAGGACATGTGTCCCATTTTCCCAGGCTCCAGGCAAGGTGACTCTTCATTTTTCCTCTCCTCAATCACCTTTATTTCATGTCCCTTTGGCATCTTGCCCGGGGTACCCTGTACAAGGTCCTGTCCGGTCCTGCTTGGGGCTGGCCCTGAAAACCTGCCTTCCCTCTGGGCTGGGGGGAAGCTTCTTCTTCTCCCACTAGGACATCCTCCATCCCCTATCCTTTGCAGAATGGCGGGGGCACAATTCAAGATGATTTTCTGGGGCACGCAGGATAACTGAACTTAGTAAATGAACTTAGTATCGAATAACACTGAGCCGCGTGGTAAGAAAAATATTGAGGGGAGCCCGGGTGATTCAGTCAATTAAGCATCTCAGGTCATGACCCAGGGTTCTGAGATTGAGCCGCATGTCCAGCTCCCTGCTTATCGCAGAGCCTGCTTCTCTCTCTCTCTGTCCCTCTCCCTGCTTGGGCGCGCGCTCTCTCTCTCTCTCAAGTAAATAAATAAAATCTTTAAAAATATTTAATTGTTTTATCTTCAATGTTCTGTCATTCTTTCTAATCCTAATTAAGGAGACAGTCTATTTGATGATAATGTGTCTTTTTTTAAAGATTTTATTTATTCATGAGAGACAGAAAGAGAAGCAGAGACACAGCCTTGCCCTCCAGGGTTTCCCAGTCTTCAGAAAGCCTGTGTGCTTTTACACATGAGAAAGTGGCTTCCCAGGCCCAGAGAGATACACACAACCAAGCTCTGGCCCTCTGCATACACACACATGGTCACACGTGCACGCGCACACACACACACACACGCACACACACACACACCAAGACACTCACTCCCAAATGGTCATAACCGCACGCTCACCCCTCACACACACAATCACATACACAGATGCAATCGCACTGCAGCCAGCGTCCCAGTCTCCCCCGTGCCCCAGCACACACATCCAAAATGGCTCTGGAGCACTGGGGCCGTTGCTGTGGGAACCAGGATCCTGCCATCGTAATTTGTGGACCTTTGAATTCTTGTTCTGAATATTACATTAGCCATGGAGTCTGTGCTCGGAATTCTGACTCACTTCCCCTCCAGGGGGTCAGGCTGGGCAGCCAACCAGGGACTTGGTGAGGACAGGCGATTCTAGGCCTGATTACTTTCAATCTAAGGGATGGAGGGGTCCAGATGACACTTGTTGGAGAACTGAGTCTGCAGGCCAGGTGTGGTGTGTGTGTGTGTGTGTTCACATCTGGGTGTCACAGTCCAAAGAATCTGCTTAGGTGAGGCTAAGAATCTATAGCAGCCATACATCAGTCTGTAACCCCTCTATCAGCAACAAGCACAGGCTGAAATCTTCATGGTTTAACCCACTAAAGGTTCTCTTCTGGTTTTGGTGTTGTGTGGTTTTGTTTTTGTTTTTTTGCAGGGAGCACCTAGATCTGAACTGGAATACAGGTTCACTTCTCATACAAAATTCTGGTGGAGGCAGCATCCCCCTCCATCTCAAGGTTGCATCAGAGCCTCAAATCCTAGCACAACAGAGAAAAAAAAAGAGATGGCACATGCTCACTGCCTCTTACCTACATGGGCCTATCAGTGAGCACATGGCCTTCTTCCTAGACAGCAATGGCCCAGCCTAAGTACCAGAGATCCCGAATGCAGAGGAGCTCCTTGGGAGCACAACAGTCTCTGCCACAGCCCTCCCTTTGTGCCTCCACAAGCTGCAATCTCCCTGCCCTGCATGGAGCACATTCCTGGGAGACTGTTCAAATCCAGGTTCTGTTTCTTGCAGAGCAGGGGTGGCCTCGAGGCCATGGATCAGTCAGGGACCCAACAGGAAATGGGTGGCACTATCACAATAGGAGAGTTTGAAGGGATTTATTCATAAAAAGACCATTTATAAAGGATAAAGTAAGCAAGAACTGCAAGCAGCTGAGCTGTTGCCACGCTGGACCCAAGGAGGCAAGAGCAGGGAGTGAACAGTAAGGCCAGGAAGGAGGGAGTCCAGGAGAGGGGCCCAGAGCCTTCAGGTGGGGGATCTCACAGAGGAGGAGCCAGAGGAATATGCACACCTACTCCATTCTCCTCCCTCCCTCCCATCTCTGCTGGAGCTCCCATTGGCTGAGCCAAACAGAAGCCAAAGGGCCCAGGCAGAGGCTGCTTTGGAGGCTCTGGAGGAACAAAGGGGCAACCACTTGGCTCAGGAGATGGATTTCTATTCTCTGGGCCTGGCTTTCTGATTTGTAAAAAGCGAACACTAATATCTACCTCACTTCGTGGTTGAAGGAAGATGGAATAATTCTGTGAATAATGTTTGCTGGCATATGTTCGGCCCTTGGCAAACATTAGTTTCTCAGCATCTGAAAGCGCTTGCAGTCTGATAGTCCCTCTCCAATGCACCAATCACCCCAAAGTCTGGTATGGATTTCCTGAAACAGATTTTCCAAACCAAAATGTTTTTCCTAACAATAACTCCAATTTTTGAGCTTCTTCTGTAGTCAAGTATTTTACAGTGCTATGGCCCTCAGTGCTATGGCCAGGAAATTGGGATTCCTGTCAAGAGAGGTTAGTAACCCACCCATAGCCACCCAGCCAGTACATAGATCTGGCCCCAAAGCCCACAGTTGTTCCTCCCTGCTCTGCTCTGATTTCTGAGCACATTTATACAATTCAAAGATGAAGTGGAAGAAGTTGCAGCAACAGAGCTTGAGAATTTCTCTACCCTGAATGGAGGCAACAATGCCCATGGCCCAGGACCATGGCATTTCAAAGTCCTCATGTAGCCACAGCTCCAGAAAATGTCCCTGTCCTTCAAGGTAACCTCTGTGCCCTTTCCCCCTAAGCTCACTCACCCACCACAGCTGCTACTGGTTGATTCCAGGTCACCTGACTCCAGCCCCATCTGATCAGCCCAACACCAGCAGTGCCAAGAGCCAGACCTTGGAGCCAGGTGAGTTGAGACTCCTTCTGGGGGCCCACAGCCAGGTTTCTGAGACCAGGCAGGTGTTGTCTCAGGTGATGGGGAAGGGAAACAGACTTTTAGGCAGTGTCTCTAACTTCAGATAACACTTCTTCCTGGCTCAATGCCCAAAGTGCCACTGCTACATTCACTATGTAGCAGTCTTAGAACTACCGTCTTTGAAAGGCCACTGATCAAATGTCACATACTCGTGGACAAAATGTTCAATGTACATTTCTAGGAGATCTGTTGAGAACAAGCTGAAGAATGCTTCGTGAGGATGGTGTGGTTCCATCAAGCGGGTCCTTGATTAGCTCAAAAGATATTTATTAAGCACTTACTCTGTACCAAGGTGTATGCCACCCTGGGGGTGCAATCCTGGTCAAAAACGGACAGGTGACTCCCCAAGGAGGGTGTCTGGGGAAAGGAGAACCACCATCCCAAGTAGCTTGTCTTCAGCCGCATCACGAATCCCATATCCATCCTCCAGGGCTTCAAGGTCATGACAGCAGCCTCCCCAGTAGTACCCTCAGAACAGCCTCAGAGGGGGAAACATGGCACCCACAGTACCAAGGAGGGCCCTGAAGCTAGGACTCTGCCTAGCTTTCACACAAGGGTGCTCCAGAGACAGGGGCAACAGGGGGAGATTTGTGGGGATGGGGCCCCTGGTTCTCCATCACTCCAAACCTAATGAAGGCTTCCTAACCTCTACAGTTGCCTTCAACTCCCCTCTCCTGACACGAAGGAGAACCAGGTCAGGCCTCAGAGGGGGCTCAGGGATGAACCAGCCCAGCCCCATTTTGCAGACCGGAATGCTGAGGCCCAGGGCCCAGTGGGGTATTGTCAAAGATAAGGTGGTAGAGCCCCTGGCCACGGCCCATCCCCACTCCCATCCCTGGGATCTGTCCTGTCTCCGTGGGTGGAGGCCTCAGCTGGAGTCTGGCACTTCCAGGGCAGCAGCTCGGGGTCCGCCTGGTGAATGGGAGCAGCCACTGCAGCGGGCTGGTGGAGGTCTGGTTCAGGCTGTCCTGGGAGCCTGCTTGCCGGGCGCTCTGGGACAGCCGCGCCTCTGAGGCCGTGTGTCGTGCGCTGGGCTGTGGCGGGGCCGCGGAATCCACCCAGCCCACCTCGCCGTCCCTGGAGCTGCCACCCGGGCCAGGTGCGGGGAACGCCAGCGAGGCCTTGAATGCCACTCGAGCCCTGGCGCCCGCCGTCCTGTGCAGAGGTGCCGAGTGGCGGCTCTGCTACGTGGAGGAGCGTGCATGCGACAGTAATGGGAGTCCGGCTGAGGTCACCTGCGCAGGTACGAGCGGACCACCACCTGCGCCCTGTCTGCCCTACCCTCAGCCCTTCAGCCATTGCCCCTCATTCCTGTCCCCAGCCCTGGCCACTGGACCCAAGCCTTACCCTCCGGCCTCCTCCCGCACTCCCGCCCCCAACCCCCACCACCGACACAAACATAGCTGGTTCCCACACTGCAGGATTGCAGCTTTGCCCCATTTCCAGCCCTGAGCAAGTCCTCCGATCGGGCCCCCAGACGTCTCCCCCTACTAGATCTCCAGTTTGTCTGCTCTGTCCCCAACCCGGCCCCTTGGGTCCCCAATCCTAACTGGGTCTCTGGTCCCGCACCTTCTCTCGCTTGGGACCTCTACCTCTGCCCTTACCTCCCATGTCCATAAATACGCCGGATTCTCAGGGGCCCTCAGCTTTGTCAGTTTCCTGCCCTCAGCTCTGCTCTTCCAGGCCCGCCCCCCAGGTCCCTAGCCCTGCTGAGTCCCCCACCTCTGCCCACTAGGGCCTCAGTCCTCACAGGGTTCCCCATTCCTGCCCACCGAATCACCAGCCCCTCTCATTGAATCCGCAGCCACCACCATCCTTCCCACCCCTCCCTTCCTCAAGCACCCACACACGCTTTCCCCTCCTTCCCCAGAAAACCGCGCGGTGCGGTTGACGGGCGGTAGCAGTCCATGTGCGGGCCGCGTGGAGATGCTAGAGCACCGCCAGTGGGGTTCAGTGTGCGACGACACGTGGGACCTGGAGGATTCCCACGTGGTGTGCCGGCAGCTGAACTGCGGCTGGGCGGTTCAGGCTCTGCCCGGCTTGCACTTTGCCCCTGGCCGAGGACCCATCCACCGGGACCAGGTGAACTGCTCCGGGGCCGAGGCCTACCTGTGGGACTGCCCGGGGCTGCCAGGAGACGGGTACTGCGGTCATAAGGAGGACGCCGGCGTGGTGTGCTCAGGTCAGCAGGCAGTGGCTTACTTACTGTGGGCCTGGGTGCCGGGCGGGATGGCTCCTGCCCTGCTGGTGCCAAGTCAAGTCCACGAGGGAAGATAAGACCCAGATAAGCACAGTCGGGGAAGGGAGTGATACGTGCCCCAAGAAAGGAAGCCAGGTGAAGTTTAGAAGGAGCTGGCAATCCAGAGTTAGAAGGATAAGCCTGCCCACCTCCTGGAGGAAGTGTGAGGGGGGTTCAGAGCAGCAAGAGGAGATGGAGGCAGGGAGCCCCTGAGGAGGCCATCATTAGTCCAGGCTATGAAGTTCTGGTCCAGCCAGGGCTTCCCTTTAATGTGCACAGGAATAGGGGTTGGGAGGTCTTGGTAAAGATAGATCTGATTCAGTAGGTCTGGGCAGAGCTTGAGATTCTGCATTTCTAACAAGATTCATGCCATGGTGACATTACAGGTCCAAGGACCACAGTTTGAGTAGCAGACATGCAGTGGCAGCCAGAGCAGATGGAGCAGATGAGAGGGGGACACAGATGCAGGAGGGAAAGTACACAGGATCTGGAGACTGATTGGCTGCAGGGTGTTTGCATTCATGAGTCTGGTCTGGTGGGGGTTTCAACCCAAAGGATTTTTTTTTAAAGATTTTATTTATTTATTCATGAGAGACACAGAGAGAGAGAGAAAGAGAGACAGGCAGAGGGAGAAACAGGCTCCCCGAGGGGAGCCTAATGCGGGACTTGATCCCAGGACCCTGGGGTTAAATGACCTGAGCCCAAGGCAGATACTCAACCAATAAGCCCCCCAGGTGCCCCCAGTCACCCCCAGCCAGAGGATCCTGACCTAACTCTGCTCCCCACCCCCACTTCTCCCCTGCAGAGCACCAGTCCTGGCGCCTGACTGGGGGCGCTGACTCCTGCGAGGGGCAGGTGGAGGTACATTTCCGTGGGGTCTGGAGCACAGTGTGTAACAGTGAGTGGTACTCACAGGAGGCCCAGGTACTCTGCCGGGCCTTGGGCTGCGGGACCGTGGCCAGAATACCCAATGGGCTGCCCCACTCCCTGCCGGGCAGGATGTACTACTCATGCAGAGGAGAGGAACCCACCCTCTCGCACTGCTCCTGGCGGTTCAACAACTCCAACCTCTGCAGCCAGTCGAACGCAGCCAGAGTCCTCTGCTCAGGTATCCCTCCTCCCACCCCCATCTCATCCCCTTCCCCAGATTTGCACCAGAAATTCCAACTGAATCCGAAGCTGAGGAACTGACAGCCCAGGAGACCACAGCTTGGGCTAGGTCAGGAATGACAACTGCTGGCATTAGAGACACTATTGCCCTTACTATGTCCGGGCAGACATGGCATTCTTTCCCACAGAGCCTTGACTCAGCCCCCAAATATTTATTAAGGCCTTATTATATGCTAAGAAGTGGTCCCTGTTGACTGGAATTGGCTCAGGAGATGAAGCCAGCTGCCATCCCAGGGCAGGTGATCATGGGAAAATAATATTGGGAGACAGAGCCTGGCACCCCAATCATGTGGCAGCCGTTGGGGAGCACCCCGTACCTCTCCTTTCAGCTAAGCCACACTATGAATTACATTCTACTGTATTTCACCAAATCTAAGGTGGCACCGATATGTCACACTTTTATTATTTTATGTTCCATAAAGGACAAAAATGCTGCCAAAATAAACTCTTGACATGTCATCAATTGCAGCACTCGATGCCATCACCCCAATTTCAGAAGTGCTAAAATGTGAAAAAGCCAAAGCATTAGGCCCAAAGAAACATGGTATTAGCCTCCCCATGGGGTGTTTAGGCACCTGGCTAGGGACTCCAGCTCTGCCACTTACCCATTGGGAGGCTTCGTTCAGTTCTATGAATATGTGGATGCTGATATGAGCCACTTCGCGGGGCAGCTGGGAAATCAAGTGATAGCCAACAAAGGACTTTGTGAGCTCCATCCCTTACCTGTCAAATGATTATGATACTGATGGTAATGTCAGCTTCCTAGCTCCCCGAGGCCAATGTGAAAAGTGAACCCAGGACTTAACAGAAAAGGGGATTTGTGGTCTGTAGCAGATTTTACAGAAAGAAGGGATACTTCCTTTTATTAGCCTCTTATTGTAACCAAAGAAACTTCTCAGCATTTAATCCATGAGATCCTTCTTATTGCAGGGGGTGGGAAAGGCAGGTTTCCTTAACTATATGGCCCACCCCCTTCCAATGGGACTATGCCCCTCACTCCAGGTCACTTGTCTGTCTTGTCCAGTTTCTAACACAAGGACTGGCACACAGTAGGTGCTCGGTGATATGTGTTGAGTACATGACTGGTGCTTTCTGACAGGCTCCCGGAGTCTGCTCAATCTGTCCACTCCTGAAGTCCCTGCAAGTATTCAGCCGATCACTGTGGGTGAGTGTCACTTGGTTCACGGTGTCTGAGAGAGGTGGATGCGTGCATGCAAGTGTGCATATGTGTGTGAATGCGTGTGCACACCTGGGAGAGGCCCAATGGTGTATCCCTCATCCTCCATCTCTAGACACTGGACTCGCCTCTCCCTCAGCCCCCACCCTGCCATGCACTCTGTTCTGTGGGTAGTTTTGCTCCTCCCCTCCCCTTCCTGCCACGTCAACTCCCCAACTCCCCGAATGGTACTTCATGGAAAGGAGCCCAGCCTCCTGTCAGATCCTGTTGGGCAAGAGATAGAGCTGGGGAGAGCCAGCACTGGTCTGGTCTGACACCAGCCAGTGGTAGGTGTGCCAAGAGTAACAGTCAGTGTGTTTATAATGTCCTGGGCACTGGCCCAGAGCTCTCCCCACACACTTTCCCAGCTCTGTAACGTTCCTGGGGTCCCCTTGGGGGAGATTTCCTTGGAGCCCTCACACAGAGAAAGAAGCTCAGGTTCAGAGGGTGAAGGCACAGCCAGCCAACGTGGGCTGGAGTGTGCACCCAAGGCTCTGAACTGTGCTTGGTCTACCCGCCACCTACGGATCACTGGCTGACTTCCAGGAAGACTCCTGAGGCTCAAATCCTAGCTGTGCTTCCTACTAGCTGTGTAATGGAGGACACCTTAACCTCTCTGAGCCTCAGATCCCTTGACTGTAAAATGGGGGTGGTGATCATGGCAGCTTTCTCCGAGTACTGTTGTGAGTCTCCAGTGAGTTTTTCTAAAGCACTTAGACCAGTGCAGAGTCCACAGTAAGCAGGGTCTGAGCATTAGTCTCATGATTATTGTGTATGGTTATGGGGCCCCTTGGTACTGCCAGGATAGCCACAGGGGCTGGTCCAAGTTCACAGGCTCTATGCTGTACCCCTGCTTCCAGCAGAGGAGGGTGGATGGCGGTGTGGGGATGGAGTGGGGGGCCACCGAGTTCTGACAGAGAACCTGGCAGTGGATGAGGACACGGAAAGGGAATGAAATACTGGGGAGCAAGTTGAGGGTAACTCCAAATGGGACCCAGACCCCAGCTTGCACACTGTCTCTTTCTGAGCTCAGGGCAGGGAGCCCACCTCCCAGGACCATACTCTAGCCCTTGGCCTAACAGCCCCACCCTCAGCCCTGTCCCTCTGGGCCTCTCCATTCACTGGTCTCCCCGTACCTCCCACAGCCCAGCCTCTCTCTTGCACTCATTTCCTGCTGCTAAGTCCAATTCCCAGCCTGGTCCACGTTGCCCCCTTTGCAGATGGAGAAGAGGGAAGGAAATGAGAACAGGGGTCATCTCGGGGGGAGGGGAGAGCAGACAGTGTCCCCAGCCAGGGGATCAGGATCTCATCCCACCGCCCACCCATCCATGATGCTGTCACTACCCTTTACCTAGCCCTGTGGCCTATGCACCCCAGGCTGTATACGCTGAGCAGGGGGTGGTCCCTGTCTCCTCTTCTGACCAGGGCTCCAAGCACCTGCCCCACAGCAGCCTCTGTCCATCCTTTGAGTTCTTCTTAAGCAGGGATAGGGCCAAGAGAGAGAAAACAGTAAGCCACACCAGAGCTGCAGGGGCTGCTGAGCTGGGAGGTCCAGAATCATGGCCCTCGCCCCTACCCTCAGGGAGGACACATCTGGTAGGAAGGATGTATCCAGGGCACAGAAAGAAATCTCACTCTCCTGATAGTCTGTTCGCTACCAGAGGTAGCTCTAAGTTACCGTCCCTGGAAAGCCAGCCTTAGTCTTCCTCCCTAGAGATTAGATGCCCCTTGTAGGGCCTCATGCCTGCCCGTACCTCCATCCCAGCAAGCATGGTGCCATATTGGTTTGAACCTATGTATCAATAGCTCCCCTTAAGGTTTGTGATGCTGATGTCATATTTGTATCCCTAAATGGGATACACAGTGGGCACTCAATAATTGTTGAACAGAAAGAGAGATCCCTGTGGGCTGGTGGCCATGGGAAAGTTTCCTCCGGTCAATTATTTATTCATTCAATATGCATTTCTTGAGCACCTACTATATACAAGTCACCTAAAAGCAGATGGCCATGTGGGAGATATCAGAAAGGGACACAGAACATAAAGACTTCTAACTCTGGGAAATGAACTAGGGGTGGTGGAAGGGGAGGAGGGCGGGGGGTGGGGGTGAATGGGTGACGGGCACGGAGGGGGACACTTGACGGGATGAGCACTGGGTGTTATTCTGTATGTTGGTAAATTGAACACCAATAAAAATTAATTTATAAAAAAAAAAAAAAAGCAGATGGCCAAATTAGAAAAAAAGAAGAGAGGAGGGGGGTAGATCCAGAAGGGAAGTGGGTGAGCTGCAGAGAGGCTGGAGAGGCAAGAAGCACAAGGAGAGGTCTACATACATTCTTCCTTTTCCCTCACTTGGGGCTCTTGTTTCTTTCCAGAATCTTCTGTGACCATGACAATGGAGGACTGGAAACCCCGGGAATTAATGCTCCTCATCCTCTGCATCACTCTGGGAATTCTCTTCCTTGGCTTACTCATCTCCATGGCCTTCATCTTCTTGAAAGTTAAAGGAAAATATGGTAGGTGCAGAGTTCTGGGAGTCACTGGAAAGGCCTAGAGGGGGAAAGAAGCTGGCCTGAGGTGTGGCCCTCTCAGGGGGATGTGGGCCTTGCAGGAGAGATCCAGCAGTGGCCACCCAGCCGTGGCCCCGGGTCACCTCCTGATGGAAAGGATTTTCCCAGCATGCTCTGCAGAAATGGCCCGTGGGAGGACCAGACTCTGTGCGTGTGTGAGTGTGTGATTGAGGGGGAAGTGAGGAGGAAGGTGTCTCAATGAGCATAGGACCGAGTAGACTGGGAGAGAGCAAAAAATGACCTGGAGAATGTCTGCCTCCCTTCCCTCAGCCCTCCCTGTTATGGTGAACAACCCACACCTACTCACCACCACCCCAGAAGGGATCAATAGCTATCAAGATGTCCCCATCACCATTTCCAAAGAAGAAGGTAGGATGTCACCCACCCTGGGGGTGGAGAGGGCTGGGGAGGCAGAAAGGGTATCCTTTCTGGAGGGCCAGTGGTGTTTAGGTCAAAGCTGTGCCCCAGCTGGAGATGAGACCTCGGGTAGCCCATGGGTGCCTGTGAGACCTTGAGCACGTCATGTCTCAATCTGGGCCTGAATGGCAGATGATCTTCCAGGGTAGTCATTCTGGGCTAGGCTTTGGGGTTCTAGAATAATACAGACTCTGGGCATTTCTCAGAGGAAAGCTCCACCCTGCTACTTGGCTGGTAGGTTTGTGACACTGTGGCCTCTTTCAATGGCCTGCTCCATCAGCCTTCCTGCACGGCCCCATCAAGATTTTCCTGGAACATCATTTTATTTGATATTTTCTAAATGAAAGAAAAATTGGATCGGTCATCCATCTTTTATAACACACGGATTTATACTTCGTGAAAGTCTCTTAGGGAACTCAGGCTTAATCACATTGCACTGTGACTATACTAAACCACCTTTATTTGAAAGCATTCAATGACAAGAAAACCGATACCAAACCCAGCTAAATGATATAAATGCTCTCTGTGCAAGGTATCCATGTGTTTAAGGAAGGAATATGAATGCAGAACCTGGCACACAGGTGAAGCACAGAGCATTTGCTCACTGACTATCATAGTCTAAGGGTTAAGAGTCACACTGCCTGCTTCTCTGGGCCCAGTGAGGACCCCCCCCCGTGCCTTAGTTTCTTCAGCTGTAAAATGGGGACGCCGACGTACCCACCTCACAGAGTCGTTACAATAATCCAAATAAGATCATGTTTTAAGTGTCCCGCCTGGCCTGTAGCAACTGCTCTATGTTTTGGAAGTAAGCAAAGGAAATAAGCCAATGGGCGGGGGGGAGCTTGGCAAACCCAGGCTGGACAGTCTGGTACAAGACGGGCGACCTGGGAGACCTGGCGCTGTCCCTGCCCGTGTGTCTGGCCCCCACCGTCTGCGCGCTCCTGCCGCTCCCTGCACCTTTCTGCCTGCCACTTGGCCCTGCCCGACTCTGCTCTCTCCCCAGTTCCCATGCTGCCCATCCAGGCGCAGGCCCCACCCCCCAAGGACTCGGACTCCAGCTCGGACTCAGACTATGAGCACTATGACTTCAGCACCCAGCCTCCCGTGGCCCTGACCACCTTTTACAGTGAGTGCCTGGGCCCGGGCTCCTGAGAGCCCCACCCCACCCCCAACCAGGGAGAAGATCCCGTTGGCTGGGGAGCTCCGCGGGGCCCACCAGATCACCCTGCATGCTGTCGGTGGAGTGTCCCTTGACTCAAAGTGGTCCTACGCTGAAGCTCTCCAAGTGTTTTGTGACCCTAGAGACCCCTCTGTGTCTTCAGTCTCCTTCCCTCCTGCCTTTGGCCACACAGGGTCTTAGGAAGGACTTGTCCCTTGACACTCACCTCCAGGGTGGCCTTGTCTGCGTGAAGCAAGGAAGTCCAGGCAAGAGACACGTTCAGACGCCTTCTCACAGGCTCACACCCCTTCTGTGCCCCCTCCTGCCCATCAACCTCACCCCTTCCCCCACCTTGCTGGGGAGCCCAGTTTAAACCCCCAGCTGGCTTTTCCAGCTCTCCTCCCTGCCTGCTGGGGACAGGAGGAGGATAGACAGTGCTTAAGGCAGGGCCCAGGCAATGCTGGACATTAGAGCAAAGAATCCCACAGCTATGGGGGACTCCCTTGGGAGCTCATCAAACATCCCCCAGCTTCCCTCCGGGACCCACCCTATGAATTAGGATGAGAGTTTGTGTGTCACCGGCGCCCCCAAACAATGGCATCCTGAGAAGTTGGCAGGGACCAGCCTTCCTCTCTCTTGCTGCTGTGTAGTCCCTAAGATGTTGCGCTCATCAACATGGTCCAGAACGGCTCACTGCCATTTCCACCTCCTGGACAGCAGCAGGGGGAGGGAAGACGAGGCAGGCTCAGCACTGACAGGCAGGGTACCAAGGATGCCCCCTCACTGCCACGCTCAGCCTTGCCTGCCACAGTCTAACTCCCCAGCTGCAGGAGAGGCCACAGATGAAGCTTCTATCCTGGGCAGCTGTGTGTCCAGATGAAGGCCAGAGGGTCTGTCCTTAGGGGGGTGGAGAATAGAGATTAGGGACGCTGGTCGTCTGTGCCTCACCTGCTGGACCAGGGCCTCTGTGGAAGGAGGTGGTTGACTGTGCTTCTGCCTTGCCATGCACCAGCATTTGGGAGCCACCAGGGTGAGGCATCCTTAGAACCTGAGGTTCTGCTCTCAGGCATGCAAGATGCTAGAACGAGAGTCTAAAATCCCATGACACTGCCAGTGAGGTTCTATATACCAGGTTTGAGAGCGCAGACTCCAAGGTCCCAGGTTCTCAAGTCCTTAAGATTCAACACATCCATATCACCTCTCCAGTTCTCAAGCAAAAGTTCCCCAGAGCCTAGAAGGCAGGGATTCCAGACCTCCGGGCTTCCACTCTGCCCTAGCTGGGGCACCATCTGCCCTCTTCCTGCCCACAGCCCCGAGGGCACAAGGAGACAGCCCAGGACTCTCCCTGTTTCCTTAAGCAGAAGGAGGGGTATCTGGGGCAAGGCACTAGGGTTTTGGGCAGAAGCAACCTCATCCCATGCTGGTTAAAGACTGAGATTCAGGACTGGCTGGACTCGGATAAGAGCCCGGGAGCTGATGGGAAATGCTAAGCCCTCTGTACTTCTGGGGTTGTCCTCCCACACTATTCAGCCCCAGGGCACCCCCCACCAAGTGCCAAGGCACTGCAGCCCTTCCTGTAGGCTCCAGGGGCGAGGAGGTAGGTCTTCACCCCTCCTCACCACCACTCTGCTTGTAGATTCCCAGCGGCACCGCATCACAGATGAGGAGGTCCAGCAGAACCGGTTCCAGATGCCCCTCCTGGAAGAAGGTGAGGAGGTCCAGCAGAACCAGTTCCAGATGCTCCCCCCGGAGGAAGGTGAGTCAGGCTGGAGAGGTGCATGGAGGCAGTGATAACGATGTCAACCTTGACTCCAGACTTAGCAACTCAGCTCACCTTGAGAAATGCCAACAGCAGCCCCCCTCGATAGATCCTTTCTGATTTTAACATTCCCCTTGGCCATTAGTTCTTTCTTGGGTCTAATTTAAAGCCCTCTTGCTGCATTGCTGCTTCTTTCCTCACCATTCTCCCTTTCCTGGGCCAGGACTTGAAGAGATGAACGTGTCCCAGGTCCCACCCATTGGTACTGGACACTACATGGCAGACACCCCCTCCCTGGGCTCTCAACACCGCCCAAGGAGCAGCAGTGAATCCAGCACATCCTCTGGGGAGGATTATTGCAATAGCCCCAGCAGCAGGCTACCTCCGTGGACCCCCCAGGTGTTTTCTGCAGAGAGGATCCCCCACCTGGAGCAGCCCCCGAACCTGGAGCTGGCTGGCTCCCAAGCTACTTTTTCAGGTGAGCTGGGCCCAGGAGGATCCCATGTGTGCTCCAGTTCCCATCCTATAGCTGACCTGGCTGGAGGAAGCATACAGCTGGAAGCCCTGAGCCAGGCTGAGCTCAGGATTCTAGCCCCAGCTCTGTAGCCACGTACTGTGTGAGCTTGGACAAGTCTCCACCCCTCTCTGGGCCCTCACTTCCTCATTCATGGTCAAGCCAGGAACTGGAGTCTTGTGAGTCATGAGGGCTTCCCAGCTCTGGCAGCTCTCAAGCTGGCTGTCTCCAGGCAGAGAGTGATTGGTTCTCGGGCTTTCCAGCAGGGCCCTTGGCTGATGACAGCTCCAGCACTTCATCCGGGGAGTGGTACCAGAACTTCCAGCCACCGCCCCAGCCCCCCTCAACGGAGCAATTTGAGTGTCCAGGTACCAGTGGCAAGGGAGGTGGTCCTGGAAGGAGGAACAGACAGGGAGCAGGGGGCGGATGAGAGGGGGAACTCCAGATCCTTTGGATTCATTAGCCCAAGAAGAAAAGTAAAGGTTTGTTGTTATTTTTTTTAAGATTTTATTTATTTATTCATGAAAGACACAGAAAGAGAGGCAGAGACACAGGCAGAGGGAGAAGCAAGCTCTCTGCAGGGAGCCCGATGCAGGACTCGATCCTGGATCCCAGGATTGATCCCTGGGTCAAAGGCAGATGCTCAACTGCTGAGCCCCCAGGCATTCAAGATTTTTTTTTTGTTTTCGTTTTTTAAACAAACAAGAATATGAGGAGGTGGGAAAAATGGATGTGGACGGGACAGAGAAAGATCCAAAGAATGCCTTGAGAGGAAATAAGCTCCCCATTAGTGGAAGTATTCAAGCAGAAGTAGCCAATGGCCCCTTGGGGAAGACTGCGGTAGCAAGGGGAGTGCCAGCACTCAAGTCGCCCATCATTTCCTGTGCAGGCGTGGGCACTACAGCCCTAAAGTGCACAGATGAGGCTGACATTCTAGCAAGGGAGATGGTAATGAGCAAGATAACATGATGGGAGTCTTGTCGCTGCACCCACACAGCATCACATGGGAGGGCTGTGGACTCAGACCCATTCAGCTCTGTCCGATGGGCCTGGAGAGACAGTGACCAGCCTCCCCCTGACCCGAGCCTCCCTGCCACACAGGACCTCCCACTCCCCGGCCTGATTCCGTTGACGGCGAAGACTATGATGACATCGGAGCAGCCTAGGCTAGACTCAGCAAGGCTCCAGGTGGCTCCCTCCTGCTGGACTCCTGCTCTACTCTACCTGCCCCTACTCTCCCACCCCGTCCTCCCGCATATTCCCCCAGGGGCCTGACAGGCCTCCTCTGGAGAGACGCAGGGAAAGCCCTCACCCTGCACCCACAGCTCCATCTCCATCCATCAAACGGAAGCTGCTGGCACAGCCCTCCCTTGGCCCCAGACAGCCCTGAGGTGGAGGGTGCTGCCTCTGAGAAGTAGTGAGCTGTCTGTCTCAGGGATGAACAAGCGGCCACCTTTCAGCAGACTGCAAGAAGGTTTGAACATAATGACTTCTGAGACCCCTTCTGATCCTTGGGTGTCTGTGCTTTAGTTCCCTGAGTCTCAGGTCAGGGCCTGGTGGTACTGAGCGAGCAGAAAATGGGCCCCATCCCAGTGCCCCCCATGTGCGGGCTGCTAGGCTGCTGTTGCTTTGAGAGGTGGAGTCTGGGGCTGAGGGTGGTACACCACTGACCCAGGTTGGCAGCCACCTGGGCACTTAGGATCAGCCGGCTGACAGCAAGCAGGTCGACCCTACCCCTAGAGACCTGGAGCCAATCAGGGCACCTCCCTGCTCTGCAGGGACCATCCCTGGACACAAGGTCCTGCTTCTGAGCTTCCCGTGGCATACAAAGACAGCCCTAGCCCAGCTCCCCCAACGACCCAGAGTTGGGCCCCAGTCCCTTGGGACAGAAGCACAGAGAGGAGCCCCTGTGTCTGCTAGCACCGTTGGGGGCTTTCCTGAGGAGCACAAGCACACGCAGCTGACTCACCCTGAGCACAGACATGTGCAGGCAGCCTGAGGGCTCAGAACCAGCTTCTAGTGCCCAGTTCTGAGTATTCTGAGATTAAAGTAATTGCTGAATAAAAACCCGTGCGTGGAGTGACGAGTCCTTGAGCTCTTACAGTGCCCAGACCTGTGTGTGCCTGTGTGTGTGCCTGTGTCTCTGTCTCTGTGTGCTGGGTGAGGGCAGTTCTATCCATCAAGGGGGAGATGGGGAACTGGAAACCATGGCCCGGCACTGTGAAAATTGCTAAGGATACAGGAACAGGAGGACTCAGGGCCTGCCCTCCTGAAGGAGGTGGACACAGAATGTCTGTGAGTTCAGCAGCCTGCTCCCCCTCTTCTCTGCCCCACTTGAGCCCTGACTCAGTGGCCCCATAATTTCAGAGACAGGGTAATGTGAAGGGATTTTTTGCTCAGAGCCACCTGACAAAGAACTGGCCGCAGCCTGGAAGGAAGGAGTTGGAGATGAGGCTGAGGAATACACAGTGGGGATGGGGTGTGGGGCGGCTTCATACAGAGGAACCCTGCAGCTGCTCAGAGGCTGGGATTTTAGGCTGCTGCAAGGGCCCCTGCCCAGATCTGCCTTCTGGGTGAGGGCAGGGGGTCGGGTTTCCTCTGAGCCCTCCTAGAGCAGGCAGGTGTTGAAGGAGGCTGGGCTGCAGATCCTTCCCAGAAGGGCTGAGTAGGGCCTGTTCTCCTTTCACCTGTCCCAAGACGGAGAGTAAGCTAGCGCTCCCCAGGCAACTGTCACAGGATGTGGTTGCGATTGATGGCCCCCTCCTGACCCTCTGAACCCTCCCCAGCAGGCGGGGGATTCTTAGGGGAGGAGCCAGTGCTGGGGTGAGCCCGGACAGAGCCCCAAGGTGGTTTGTGAAAGCCTTTTTTATCAGACAGCCTGGGTTCAAATCCCATATCCTCCCTGTGTGGCCATCGGCAAGCACTCAACATTTCTGAGCCTTTGCTGTAAAGTTTGCCTGTGAAGGGGGCATGGCAGTAGTAGACACTACACAGGTGGTTGCAAGCATTAGAGAGGTTTAGCAATGAATGTTCTCTCTCAGGAGAGGTGAGAGAGCTCCCTGGAAGGAGGAAGGGGAAAAGAAAAGAGCCACCAATCCCCCAGGTCCCAGCGCCCTGGTGCTGGTGGAGGCAAGCATCTTGTCCCACTGTTATCTTTCAGATGAGGACACTGAGGCCCGAGAGGGAAAGGACTTGTCCAAGGTCACTCAAAGTTAATTGCCAAGTCACAACTCGGCCCTACGCCGCCCCCCCCCCACCACTCTCTAGGGCTTAGACAGGGAGATGGTGGCACCCTCTGAGTTCTCTACTCTTAAGAGACCAGGCATTATCACTAGTCTCAAGGATCTGGGAATGGAAATACAAGATGTTATATGGATGGGGCACTGAATTGATTTCAGAAACATCAATACAGGGGGAGGGGCTACATAGGAGCACGGAGGCACTGTAGCAATTTTATGACTGCAAGCCCGTGACAGAATGAACTGGGCCTAGGAGAGCTCCTGATCCAGCTGGAGGGAAGGAGACATTCATCTGGAAAGACCTTTGCCGGGGATAGGAGGGCAGGTGGTGATGCCTGAGCTGGGTTGTAAAGGATGAGTAGTAATTTGCTATCTAGGGGTGGGGAGGAAAGGGCCTTCCAAGTCAATGGGATGGCATGAGCAAAGACAGCACAAAAAACCAGGTAGCTCACAAGGTAAAGGGTGGTCCAGCCCAATAAAAGAAGAGGCTGAGGGCAGTCAATTCTCACACCAGCTCTATGTGGCAGGTAAGAAAACATAGGCCCAGAGAAGTTAAGTAAAATGGCCAAGTCACACAGCTAAAAAAGAGGCAACTTTACCGGTTGTCCGGCTTCAGAGTCTGAGCATTAACCATGGCACTTCCAGTGGACACCTGTTCCTGTTCCTGGGCCCCTGAAGCCACACTGCTGGGCACAGCCAGAGCCCCAGCCTGGCCCTGGGATCTAGAGACACCAGCCTGTCTGTCCACCAACAGCACAGGCACCTGCTGGGTGTGCTCAGGAATGGAAAATAACTCACTAGCTGGGCACTTACATGGAGCCATGCCCTAGCTGACCCCAGAGCAAGAGAGGAGTGAAACCGAGCCCTTTCCTTGGGACTTGAAAGTCTCTGGGGCAGACACACAGAAACCAGCGCCTGCAGTACACACCGGGAGAGCGGTGGCAGTGATGACGGCAGTGAGCGGCACTTGCTATGCACCAGGCATATGTTATTTCACATAATCCTCATAAGAGCTCTCAGAAAAGGTATTATCCTCCCTGATCTATAAATAAGGAAATGAGATCCAGAGGCAAAGTGACTCGCCAGGGGTCACACAGCTTGTCAGGTCGTAGGTACAACTTCTCTACCTGACTCCAAAGCCCCGTGTGAAACCACTTCACTGCACAGTGGGACGCATCCTGGGCACACTTAACCCACATGATCTTCAGTGTATCTGCTCAGCTATGAAACAGAAAGAAGAGGAACAATGGAGCCTGCGGTCCCCCTCAGTGAACAAACACAGAGGGAGGAGAGAGGTGAGAGGCCCTGTTTCCCCAGACCCTGAGAACTCTGCACCGCCTGGGCATCTTGCCACTTTAGTCACCAACAACTAAACGTTTTCACGCATGGCAGGCCCGAACACAAAGCCATCACTTCGTCTGGGCGATCCAAGGCTGGCAGGAGAACTGTCTGGCTGGACACAGCACAGGACTCAGATACAGGAGGCTTCCTACGGGAGCTTGCTTTTTCTCTCCCTCCCTCCCTCCCTCCCTCCCTCCCTCCCTCGCTTCTTTCCCTCCCTCCTTCCTCTTTCTTTTCCTCCTTCTTTCCTTTTCTGTCTTTTAAACAGTAAATGGGCACATGGCTCAAATCTCCAAACCACATACAAATGCACATCGTCAAAATCTTGTTACCCACCCATCTGCCCTCTCTCGTCACTCTTCCCCCTCCCTGGGTAGACAGTATTGTTTCTCTGATGCAAACATAAGCAAATACTAATATCTCTTGCTTCCCCATGCCCCTGCTTATTTTTATACAAGACGGGGGTCCTTCTACCCACACTCCTAGGCTCCTTGCTTCTTTTCACTTCTCAAGGCATGCCAGAAAACTCTCCGAAGGGATTTTCAGAAGTAATACCATGTTCGAGTTTCATCCCATGTGCTACCCAAGCACACACCCTCTACTTGGCGTGCATCTCCGACACAGTGCTCCAGAGGGCTGTGTGGACAGAGGGGAAGCAGCCACTAACTCTGACAGACTCTGCTGGGGAAAGCAGGACAAAAGAGAGAACAAATGAGTGGGCCATTGAAGGATGAGGTAGGAGTTCACTGGACCAAAAAGAGAATGAAGGGCATTCCCAGTGGCAACATGTGCAAGCACGGTACAGGTTGGTTGAAGCCTGGGGGTGGGGGGCGGACTGGGGTCCACACGTGGGTAAAATGCCAAAGAGAATGTCAGAGGGTCTATAACTTCCGCCGAGGGTTTGGTTGTCATCCTACAGGCACTGGGGAGTCCTGAGTAGTTTCTAAGGCAGGGAAGTGATGGGACGAGACAGATACTCTAGAAAGATCACTGCTGTGAGGTGAAGGCTGGTTAGAGGGAGACCAGTTGGGGGGTCGTCGCCAAGCACCAAATGCCAAGACTGGGGGTGGAGAAGGATCTCAGGATGTGGAGAGTGATCACATGTAGAGGGGTGACCTCCTAACATGGCAGCCACAGCGATAAGATGACAGTGACATGAAAACAGCTTCCTTTCCCTGTACTTACTATGTATCAGGTGCTCTTCTGGGAATATTCCAGGTTCTCACACATTAAGGTTCACAGCGGCCCCGTGAGCATTATCTCCACCTCACAGCTAAGGAAACCAAGGCTTGGGAAGATCCAGACCTTCGGCAGGGTTGTCAGGGGGTCATGGTGTGGCCAGGCCCTGGCTCCCCCTCCACGTGGCCCCCTGAGGTGGGAAGAGCCACTGCAAAGGCTCGGGTCTGTGCTTACTGATCTGAATGCCCAGCCAGGAGGCCACACCATTTATGCTTCAGGCCTCACAGCTCATCTTCATCCTCCAGACATTGGGGAGAGCTCGAGGGAGAAGGCCAGGAGGAGGCTTGGCACGATTATCCAGGGGCTCATCTCTGTTCCACACCCCAGGCTACAGCACGTGGCTCTAAGGCCACTCCCAGGGGCACGGGCTTGGGCTTTCCTGCCCTGGCTGGGCGTCTCCTATGGGCACCCGACATTTTCCACTAGAGATCTCACCTCCAAAGCACATCTGCCCAGCCCTGCTCAGATCCCCATCCCTGGTGGCCACCCCATCAACAGGTTCTGCTTCCACACCCCACCCTGCCCTTCCTGAGACCCTCTCCATGGTCCTGGAGGTGGGCAGGGGTGGCCAGAGCCCCGCGTGGCCGCTCAGTGTAGCCTGCCCCTGCCCATAGCCCGAGACCCCCGCCCCACCATCCTGGCTTTGTAAAGATGGGATGGAGTCTCCAAAGTGGGGAGAAGCAGGGGAGACCCATCGAAGAAGGGATGAGTTCAAAGTAGCCTCAGTGGAAAGTTCATCTCCCACCACATCCTTCAGCTGTTTACCAGTTTGACACGGTTCTGGCATCCTGACATGAAAAGAGGCTCACCCCTCACCAACATCATCGAGGAAGGACAGAAATAGCAGCAGAATAAGACAAAGAAGAGGGAGACGGAGGTTGGGGTGGGCTGGGAGTGCGTGAGGAGACAGGGAGGGAGGCAGGTGGGAGGCAGCATATCCTGTAGCAGACAGAGGGAGAGACAGGCCAGAAGAGGCCGACTCAAATGTTGGAGAGGATGTGGAGAAAGGGGAACCCTCTTACACTGTTGGTGGGAATGTGAACTGGTGCAGCCACTCTGGAAAACTGTGTGGAGGATCCTCAAAGAGTTAAAAATAGACCTGCCCTATGACCCAGCAATTGCACTGCTGGGGATTTACCCCAAAGATTCAGATGCAATGAAACGCCGAGACACCTGC